ACTTAAAGGGATAGTTCACCCAAAAATGAACATTTGTCATCGTTTACACTCCCACAAGTTGCTCCAAACCTGTAATAATTTCTTTCTTCTGTTGAACACAAAAGAAGATACTTTGAAGAATGTGGGTAACCAAAGATTTTCTGGTCCTCAATGACTCTGATAGTATATATATATTTTTTAAGTTACTGAGGACCAGGCAGCAGCTGTTTAGTTACCCACATTCTTCAAAGTATCTTCTTTCGTGTTCAACAGAAGAAAGAACTTTATGCAGGTTTAGAACAACCTGGGTAAATTATGACAGAATTTTCATATTTTTAAAGTGACAGACACATCTGTGCTTCAAGGTATAAGCCTTTTTTAAAATTAAAATATGGATAGTCTGTTAATATAAAATTCCATACATTATCAGAGCTTGGTAGACATAATTATTATATTTTTAAACATTATTAGACAGATGAATTAATAGATTATAATTAATGTTAGACCCTATTTATTAATTTATCATTTATATTAGTCATAAATATATACATAATAAATTATCAAAAATGTCATATACAATTTGGCATTTTAAAAAGTAAAAAAAAAAAGCTACATTATTTAGATAAAAATGGGACAAATAAATGTAGCCCTAATTTAAGCAAATTAATAAGAAAAAATAAATAATAAAAATTCATCCCAAACGAGGCGTTTTAGGAGGGTGTGGACGAGTCTTAACTTTTATAAAGAATATCTCTTTGGATTTGAGACTTTAGTCTTTGCAACTTTACAGATCTTCTTTATGCACCAAGAGCTTGTAACACTCCAGAGAAAGGAAAAATTGAAATCACATCATATGACACCTTTAACGTGAAAAACGTTTAGTTTTTCTTGAAAACCAATATTCTTAATTTGGTTATCTACTGCTAAGATAACGCACCATAATCAGGGTTCTTACACCTTTTCCAAAGTCAGATCCTGACTCTCGGTGGTCATTAAAAATCCCAGGATGTCTTTCGAAAAGAGTAGAGGTGTGACCTCGGCATCCTGGCCAAATTTGCCCATTGGCCTCTGATCATCATGGCCTCCTAACAATCCCCATATCTACTGATTAGCTTCATCATTCTGTCTCCTTTCCACCAATAAGCTGGTGTGTGGTGGGCGTTCTGGCACACTATGGCTGCCGTCGCATTATCCAGGTGGATGCTGCACACTGCTGGTGGATGAGGAAATACCCCCTGACAATGTAAAGCGCTTTGAGTTCCTAGAAAAGCGCTATATAAATGTAATGAATTATTATTTTCAAGGTTTTCCAGCTCTTTACAACTGAGGTAAATTGCATGTTTACATACACATTCATGATAAATCAGATATTATTGTGCTATTAAAAATGTGATGGCATTCTACAGAGGGGTGACAACTTAAAGGAAAACACGTCTCATGGTTCAAACTGTAAAATTCAGTAAGATTTATTATGAAAGCAATGCAATTGCAATTTCAAGAAGTTTAAAGCACTTTACCCAAAATCCAAGCACTTTTCAAACCTCGAAAACACCATATTAAAATTCAAGCACTTTCAAGGAATTCCAGCACCTGTACAATCCCTGCATAATCCAAGTGGAAAGAAAATATTTTGCATGTTGCTAGAATTGTCTGCTAAATGAATAAAGATTTTTGATGAGTTAAAAGTAATAAACTCAGAGGAGTAGAAAATTTTAAAAGATTTTATTTTGGACACAGGAAATGGTAGAAATACATATTTACAAAGTCAGTACAGTGTTAGACGTTCAGGATGAATTGGTCGCAGGAAAGAGCTTTTAAAAGGGCGCCAGGAAACAACTAAGTGTGTGCAAGTCAAGGCCCAGGCTTCCTTTTGGATGGCGGCTCACCCTCTGCCTCTTCTGCCTTACGTTTCTGTGATGAAAATTAAAATCACATTTAGTTTTTAATGACAAATGTATCAGTGTGCATCTAGTCAATGTTGTAATACATTTTGAAAGCAAATATTTGAATTCCTAGACTTTAGCTCTGTAATAGAAAACAATTACAACTACTGTAAATTTTTTTTAGCACTTTTATCCTGAATAAAAATCCACATGCAGCCTCATGCACTGTTTTTTGTTGTTGTACCTTGGATATTTCACACTGCATCAGTTGGTCTGCAGTGTTCCTCATCTCATCATCCTGTTACACAAACATAATATTTTAAATTTGCAGAATGCTGTTTTTTATTTTACTTAAAGCGATCACATTTCAAACACTATTAAAAGGTTGACAACTATCAATCCTAGCTGAATAATGCTCAACCACATTTGTTTAGTTAGTGGGTTTTTCAGCACGCACGTTCAACCACGGATGTGTCAGCGCCTCTTCCACGCTCAGACGCTTTTCAGGATCCACAACCAGGAGCTTCTTGATCAAATCTTTAGCTGAAAGACAAAGTAAATATATAACTTACACTGTATGCTTTTAAGTTTAAATATCTCTGACAATATAAACTGATATGATGTACATGCTATTAAACTATCCAATTGTCAATGGAGAGCAAAGACATTACCTTCATTTGAGACCTTCTTCCACTGAGATGGGATGAAGCGGTAGTGGCCGTTAATGATCTGTTCACGCACCGACATGGTGGAGCACTCGGAGTTAAATGGAGGATAACCACCCAAACTATGACAATACAGATACACACACAGCTTTAGGAAAAAATGTCATACATTCATATGTTCATTCAAGCTCAGTTTGCTTGAGTTTCGATTACGGGCTCAAAATGTACATATCTTTCAGAGTTTCTACATGTTTTGACCAATGAATTGACTTTTCCAGTCATTTATGAATACTATAAAAGTATTTTCGGTAACACTTTACAATAAGGTCTCATTTGTGAATATTAATTCATTCTGAATTAACAATAGCTATGTTTCCATCACCCTGTTTTAATGCGAATTTTGAAGTATCGCATGAGAAACGAGTGATGGAAACGCCAAATTTCAAATAAAAATCCCTTAATTCGCAAAAAAGTTTTTACGCTCGCTTGAGGTGGTTTTTGACTTGTGTGAAAAAGGGTTGATGCGAATAATGTGAGATGGAAACGCATTTTGCGAATAAACTCCAAGCGCATCAAAAAAAGTCATGTGACTTTGCGCTATGGGACGGCAAAACTGAGGCGCAAGTAATTTATTATATATGAAAATTATTAATAGTCTCCTACTTTTCTTAGTGATTTATAGTGCCAGTTTATCAGGAAGTGACGATTTTGTTCTCTTTGACTTGTTGGATGGAAACGATGCTTGTTCGCAAATGTTTTATGCGATATTCCAGTTTTGCGCATAATTTAAATTCGCAATTTTGGATGGAAACCCGGCTAATGACCAATACATTTTTTACAGCATTTTGCAAGCATTTGCAAGATATAATCATTAAAATTAATAGATTTCATTTCCTCACCCTCATGTCATTCCAAACCCTGACTGACTTTTGCCCCAATAAAATTTACTGACTAAGATTTACTGAAAATGTAATGATTCAATAATAATAAAATTCTCCACACTACTTGTGAAGCTACACAAAAGATTTTTGTATTAGAAACAGACCAAAATTTAAGCAATTTTACTCTCACATTCATGAAAGAATCATTTGATCCAATTACAAAAACTGGTCTGAATGATTCATTCACAAGTCAGACTGATCTGGTTCTCAAGTTTGACTCACTGAATTAATGATCCAGTTATAGCAATTAAAGGCAGGGTATGTGATTTTTCAAAAACACTTTAGAAAATTGATTCGGGCCGAATAGCAAAAACTTGTAGCCAATCAGCAATAAGGGGCGTGTCTACTCGTGATGTGGAGGAAGGAGCTCGTATATGTGGGGCGGAGCTATCAAAATAGGGGCAAGACCCTTTTGGGGTAGGGGCGTGTTTGTTTTGGTGATTTCAAATATCATCATTGGCTACCAGAAATCGCTTACTCTGCCTTTAAGAGTTCACTGGAGATGAAGATTTTCAGTGAATAACAAATAATGAAGTGACTTGTGTTGTTACGTGCCTTGCTCAAGGGTCTCACCTCAGTCATGGTATTGAGGGTGGAAAAAAGCGCTGTACATTAACCCCCCCCCCACGACAATTCCTGCCGGACCTGAGACTCGAACCCACGACCTTCGAGTTACAAGACCGACTCTTTAACCATTAGGCCACGACTGCCCCGATATAGTCTGTTCCATATACAAAAGCTCAATAATGACACTATTATCTTCTGTAGAGCTGATTATAGCTGAATTAAACTTGTCTCAGAATTTTATGACCTTTGCACTATTATTGAACTAAACTGAAGCAAAACTGAACCAACTGAGCTGAATAATGACACTATTGTCTTAACAGTTTCACACTTCATGAACTAAACTGAATCAACATCTATGTGTTAAGCTGAATAATGACACATAATTGTCTTTTTAGAGCTTCTTTACAACTGCATTTGTTTCATAATTGAAGAATTTCAACAAAAGCTGTTATTTTCTGGTTTATTACGGCACTGCAAAAAATAGTAACCTGCAATTGTTACTTTAAAGAGCCATTTTCTACCTGATTTAACCATATTATAAGGTAGTTTTGATGAAAAAAATGAATATATTTAGGTTGATTTAATGACATGAAATAATATTTTTGACTTGAATAAAAGTTAATTATTAATAATTATTATAGTTAAACTAGTTAATTTAGACTAGTTAATCTAGTCTAAATCTAGTTAATTTAATCTACATTTCAGTGAGGCTGCTTTAAAACAATCTGCATTATGTAAGTAAAACACTGTATAAATAAATGTGAAAAGTTTTAGAATGTAGTGTACCAGTCATATTGCCTACATTTATGATACTTTTGCATCTTTTTTTTGAAGCTTGACAGCCCCAATCCTCATTCACTTTCATCATATTTAATAGAGTAGACAGGATAACGTTCCCATATACTGTAATTCACTTTTTGTGTGGAAGAAAAATAGTAAAATGGGTTCGGAAAAGACTAGGGTTGCAAAGGGGTGGAAAATTTCTGGTAAATTTCTGGAAACTTTCCAAAAATTCCCGGAAGATTCCAAATTACTGGAATGTTTTTGAAATTTACTGGAAATTTTCCACCTTTTTGCAACCCTAGAAAAGACACAAGTAAATGGTGACCATTTCATTTCATTTTTAGATGAACTACTCCTTTAAGAACCTCTAAAGTAATGCTGGATCCCACTGATTCACATTTACTCATTCAACTTTAATCTCCACTAACCAGATGAACAGTAGGACCCCCAGGCTCCAGTAATCGACTGCTTTTGTATATCCTACAGTCGCAGCGTGTGTGAACACCTCCGGGGCGAGATATGTGGGCGTCCCGCAGAGCGTCTTCATCAGGGAGGATTCCTCCAAAATCTTGGACTGATTAAAATCCGTAATCTACAAAGCATTGAGAATTCGCATGTGTGGGGAAAGCAGGTTATCTCAGGTTCAGGATTATTTCTGGGCATCCTGTTTCAACTACAAAGACAAAGGCTTGGCTGGATCTCTGCGACAATTAAAGGAGAACGATGTCAGAATCTGAGGCTAAAGCTACGTCAGTTTCAAAGCTCTCAGGCAAACACACCTTAATCAAACAGATGTCGTCATGTGAAGCCAGCAGCACATTCTCAGGCTTGAGATCTCGATGAATAATCCCATTATTGTGGAGATACTGGAGAGAATATAACAGAACATGTTTGAAAATTTTTCTTTGCATTTCACCTCTGCTATACCTTGTCTCCTAGTTTGGCTTTCTAATAAACCTGGCATTATACACTGTAGAAATATTGTTGGCTCTGTGACAAATTGCTTTTGCACCTCTATTGTAAGTTGTTTTATCTGCTAAATGAATTTTGTCTTTGATAGGGATGTAACGATTCACTCAACTCACGATTCGATTCGATTCACGATTTTGATTTCACGATTCGATTCGATTCACGATTATTATAATTTTTTTTAACAAAATTAGATTTAAGACAAATTATAAATTAAATGAATAAACTCCTACCCCTAACTGAATCGCGATTTGTTTAGCATCTCAACCGATTTGAATCGTCACATATTTGAATCGATTTTCAACCGGCTCGCAGTTAATCGTTACATCCGTAGTCTTTGACTTTTCCTTTAAAAGCACACTGGCGTGAGATTCTGCACACAAGTAACGGGCATAAAAATTAGTTAATTGTTTTTTGAAAAAAGTACAACAATCTTCATTAATATAATTTTGAAATGGGAAATTTTTAGTAGTTGCTTTTAAAATGATTAATCATTATCATTTATCATAGTGTGATATTACCTTACAGCATATAACTACAAATTTTAGGCTCCGTCCACACGGAGACGCGTTTAGCTGTATACGCAAACATTTTGTATCGTATAGGCGTTTCGTCCACACGGATCCGGCGTTTTGGGAGAGTGAAACCGATATTTTTTGAAACCGGGTTCCAGAGTGGATAAATCTGAAAACGCCGCCCTTGCGTTTTCGTGTGGACAGTGAATCCGTATATTTTCTGAAACAATGACGTCAACAGCCTACATCTCGCCCCTAGTTAGACACCGCTATGTCACGTAACAGCAACAAAAACATGAACAAACACTGAACAATTGTCTTTTTATTAACTAACATTAACACAGATTAATAAATGTATTGTTCCATGTTCGTTTGTATACCGCGCGCAAGGTTTATGCGCATAGTCCATGTCTTCTCCGTTTTTAGTGTATCTCTATGGCAGAATCACAGCGCCACATACTGGTCTGGCATGTATACTACAGCGTTTTGTGTCGGTTTCGTGGTTTCGTGTGGACGCAGATATTTCTTGAGATGAGGGAAAAAAAAAAAGATCGGATAGGGAAAGCTCTGGCTTCATGTGGACGTAGCCTTAGTTCTTAAGAGTATTTCTTTTTTTAAACCAAATAGTATAGTTTTATAATAATGACATTTATAGGTTATCAGCCACAACATAAAAATAATGATAAAAAAAATATATCAACCAACCAAAAACAAACAAAAAAATCTTTCAACTTTCTAGTAACCATTAGACATACTCAATAAAAAAGTTCAAAAGTTTGGGGTCAGTAAGGTTTTCATATATATTCTTTTTTTTTTTAATTCAGCAAGGATGCATTAAATTGATCAGAAGTCACAGTAAATATATTTTCATTCAATCAAAATATTTTTATTTCAAATAAAATATTTTCTATCTAATTTTTTTTATCTTCTTTTGAACGTTCTAGTCAAAGAATTCTGAAATAAAATTTTCCCCTAAAATATTAATCAGCACAACTTTTTCCAACATTGATAATAATAATAAATGTTTCCTGAGCCTCAAAGCAGCATATTAGAATAATTTCTGAAGGATCATGTGACACTGAAGACTGGAGTAATGATGCTGAAAATTCAGCTTTGCTGAATTTATGAATTTATTCAAGGAATAAATTACATTTTAAAATGTATTCAAACAGAAAACAGTTCTTTTAAATTGTAATAACCACCTCGTTCAGGCGATCTCGGACCGATTGTTTTGGCGCGGATCCGAGCACAATTGCCTTGTTCACATATGCCCCAATGAACCGAGCTACGGGGGGAAACGCGCCATGTTCCGAAACAACGGGCCAGGTGTGAAAGCACCCTAAGTATCACAGCAAAAACAAATGATTACCTTCAAATTAGGGTTGTGCCTATAGACGATAGTATCGTGTATCGACGATAGTCAGAGATATTATCAGAGATTAGTCAGATTATTATAAGGCTAGTAAAACTATCTAATTAATATTAGGGCTTATTTGTTCCATTATATTTATTTTTCCACGTTTTTACAGTGTTGGCGTTATAACCAATCACACACGATTATGTTGAGCTTATGAATGCAATGGCCAATCAGAGACGTTCAGATGAGTCATCGCTGAAACAGCGGAGTTTTGTTGTTTAGCGTGCGGACTGAATTCAGCTCTTGCAAATTCTCTCATCATAAACAACAAAGGGCAGATGTAGCATTATTTGAAAATTGTATTAACCAGCGAGCACTGATTAAATTGATTAAAAAAAGTATCAGTTTCCAGAAAAGTATTAAAAAACTGTTTTCAAGAGCAGCAAATCAGCATATTAGACTGATTCCTGAAGGCTCATGTGACACTGAGTAATGATGCTGAAAATTCAGCTTTGATCGAAGGAATAAATTACATTTTAATATATCAAAACAGAAAGCAGTCATTTTCACAATATTACTGTTTATAATGTACTTTTGATAAAATATATTCAGGTTAAAATAAACTGGCTGATCTTTAATATCATTGCTAAATATCTTTTTGCACTGCTCAATGTGGACTATAAGGCATTAAAGTATTATAAACAGTATGAAACGATGTGTATCATAAGCAGCACTATGCATATTTTATAATAATCTATACATACACCCAGTTCTTACCCCTATTGATGGGAAGTCGTGTTTGTTTATAGTTTTCAGAGCAACTTTTTTACAGGTTTCCTTTTCAATGGCAAGCTTAACTTCACCACAGACGCCTCTGTCAGAAAACACAAACAGAGGTTTTTGGGCTAAGTACAATAAACTGCAAAAACAAATGTACACAATAATCAAATACAACAATATTGTGCAGGAAGCATCAGTGTGGTAAGAAATATCTGCTAGGACCATAAACGCATAATGAAGCTTAGAGTAACTCAGTAATGATATTTTGAAGGTTTCTGAAAATGAGAAGTTCGCTTACGTTGCAATCTTTCGTGCTATGTGATATTTTTTGCTGAACTCTAAAGGAAGGTTTGGTTGATCGTCCCCCATCTTATCGATGAACATAAAAACTGTGGAAAAAAAGAACCAATCAAATTAGAGTTCAGAGTTGCAATTTTTTTTGTCCTTTTAGACCTTGAAAGCCGCTAGACTAGGTCTGGGCGATAAAACGGTATCGGTATTTATCGACAGTACACCTTCTTCGATAACGATAGAAAAATTGTTCGATATCGTGCACGATATAGGCACGTGCTATGAGTGACGTAGACAGCCCACGAACACATGCTGAAATGAGTGCTGTGCCTGTCTGTGATGAGGAGATTGTGAATAAAGAATGAATGGTAGTCGAATTAAAAAAAAATTTTGTCGTGATAACGACTTAATTATCTCGTGATCTCGACATAAGTTGTTTTCTTGTGATCACAGCTTAATATTTTCTTGTGATCTGGACATAACGAAAGTTGTTTTTTCGTTATCACGACTTAATTTTCTCGTGATCACGACATAACAAAAGTTGTTTTCTCGTTAATTAAATTAGCCTATAGGCTACTTTTTACATATATAAATCACATTTCTTATCAATATACATTTAATGATTGACAAAAAATAAGGAAAAGATGCACATTACAAATATGTCATTGAAGCGCGTCCTAGATAAACACAACATCCCCGCTTATTAACTAGCAATCATGTAGGCCTACTTCAAAGATGCACAAATAAAGATAGAGAATATGATTTTCGTTGGTTGAAATAAACTTGAAATAAAAATAAAAAATATTAGATGAAAACCTAAACTTACAAAACCTACATAAAAATGAGAAATGTTGCCTACTTGTTGACTACTAACTGAAATAAAAGCAGTTTAAGCTGAAGAACTAATAATAATAAAAAAAACAATTAAAGCTAAATATGTTTAAAACAAAAACTAATAAAAATGACAAAAGCACATAATAATATTACTTACACTAAAGTGAAAACGGAAAATACAAAAATAAAAGCTAATTCAAAAATATCAATAAATGCTATAATAGTAAATAATACTAAAACAACACCGGCCATATTCCTGTTATACAATAATAGCTCAACAATCTCATATCTGTTTTTTTTTAATGCAAGCTCTAATGACAGTATTTGTGGCATAATGTCACAAAAACGACAACTAAAATTTAACCTAAAATTTCAGTGTTTAAGGGTGTGTATAATCAGAAATGGGAGGCTAAAATGTATTTTAAAGCACTTAAGCTCTTTTAAAGGTGGGAATGCTTTGCTAAGCCGATAAACTTCTGGTTTTGAATTACTGATAGGTGTAGTTTGCACCAAGTAAACAGTGTAGTGTTGGATTACAAATTTAAGAATCTGTTTAAAATATGCTGATACTATATTCTGACATAGCATCACATGAAAAACTAAGGTGAAGTACATTGTATTTAGCATTTAAGGTAAATTACATCAGACAAATGATTATCTTAAACA